CAAAAAACAATCAAGCAATCAATTTTTTTTTTTTTTTTTTTTTTTGTTTTTTCACACACTAAAAACGACCCCCCCGAAAATTATTTTTAATTTTTTGTTTTGGTTCGACGGGGTAGGGTCGGGGTCCCGGTACCCCAATCGGAAACCCCCACCCCCAACCCCCTCTCCCCTCGGCCTTGGCGGGCCGCAGCAGACGGCGGTTGCCGCGGTCATGACCATGGCCTAGCGGCAGCGAGTGTTTCGTAGCTTGTTCCTTATTGATTGTCAACAACAACCAGATGAATTAAGGACGTCTTGCGAATGCATTGTAGGCAGACCATGCACGGGGGTGTTTGTGCTCGAATTAAAACTTCAGGTGAGCTAGACTTACCAATGGTAGACAAAAAAAAATAAAATGATGCAGTCATCAATTCGTGCTCATGCACGAAGGTGGCGTCTTTAATAAAGTCCTATGGAATATAGATTTCCTGCAATTTTCGCAAGAGGCTAGAATGAGCATTCATGGTGTGCTGGAACTGAACCGTTTTGCAATATCGGATGTCTGCTACTTTTGTACATCTGTTTGATCTGCATCACCCTTGTGCTATATAAAAGTGGACGACAATGACGAAACGAATCTTTTTCACAGTGACACACACACACACACACACAGAGGGTAGGTTGTGACTGTGCTGATGGAAGAGATGGAGGCATGCAGATAAAAAGGGGGTGGGGGTCTGTTGGGGTTGAGGGTTGGTTTGCAAATGCGGGTGTTGTAGGGGTGGGTTTACATGGTGTGTGCTGCTACATGCCCTGTTTCGGTTTGGCGGGGCTGGGTGCCCAGAGGGTCGACGACACGTGCCCCGGTGCCGCCACCGTGGGGTGGATAGGGGGTCGGTGCCACTTGCGTTCGCCTGAGAGCGGAAGGGTTCGTTAACCTTCCGCAATGAAGAACCGCTTCAAAAGTGGAGGACGGCAGATGAGGAGACACAGGGGTCTGCGGATCGGTGCAGAAGCGGTGGTGGACGTTAAGGGCGTACTGGATGCCATTCGCGGTAGACGTTTCATTGTCAGTTGTCGATGTCTATCAAAAGATTTGTATTGGCAGACTACAGGCGTGCCCTCCTCGGAGTCCTCGCCCAACACTGCCCCACATCGCGCATATATACAGTGCCTCGCCAAGATCGCCCACCTTACAGCCCATACACCGCCCGTCTTCCACCGTCGCGTACTCATCCCCGTCTCGCCATTTCGACGTCCACCTCACGTGCCGTCGTCGAGTTTGTCGCCCCGCAATATTGCCACCAAGCCGCCCGCCTTGCGTCCGCGCGCTTGCATCGTGTTGTCTGGCCGCGGCTTGCAAATTGCGCACTGCAAATCCAGCACACCGCCATGTGTTTCGATCCATCGCCCATCGTCCTTTGCCTCGACCGTCCGCACGAACGATAGAGGTGGATCCCCTTCCATCTTTCAACCACCTCTGTTGCCTGCTGTCGTCTCGAGCGTCGCCTTCGTCGTGTGAGCCGCGCAGATCGTCTGCCTTCATTCGCACTCATGTTGAATGTCGTATTCACCAGTGCCAGATGTGAAGTGTGCGGCGAGGGAGTCGCTGCTCCACGACGGAATTTCCATGCAGATCTCCACGTTAGCGGCATTGCGATAGACCACACACCTAGATCACTGTCATTGATTGATCGACTGTGTGAATCGGGTCTTTTTATGGACGATCGTCGTTCTGGACATTGATGAAGGGGGGACACGTCTTTGTACAGTTCACGCCGTCGTTCCTGTGTTGTATCAGTGTCGACGACTTCACAGTGTCATCACGTGGCGGAAACCGTGCCAAAAAGAGTGATAGTTACGAAGGGGAGACACAAGTGCCAGTCAAGAAAGGACGACATGCCGCGAAGAAGATGAAGGTTGTCGCAACGGGCCCTTCAACGGGAGGCCACGTAAGGGAGGAAGATTGGGCGAAGGATTCTGATGTTGGCGGCGCAGACGACGACTTTTTGTCTTACAACGACGTCGATGTTATCAGACAAGCGTCCGTGCGTGCACAAGGGGGGTTGCGCATCAACGAGCCACGCCAGCAGATTGCTACACAAACCCGCGGTGTGTGGGGGGGGGGGGTTGCAAGGGGGGTGTCGTGATAGATGTGGACGTCGTTGCTGCAGCGAGGGAGGTGCAAGACAAGGCGGCCTCGCCGACGACGCACATGGGGGGGGGCAGTGCGAGGACACGTGTAACAGCGCCGCTCGAGGGCCACCAATCTGGACGGGTCCAATCAGCTCCAGACACGCCACGCGGCCAAAACGTTCCGAAGGGGGGAGGCATTGCCAATGAGGCGGTGCAAGGGACCATCCACGGAACAGATCAACCACACGTGGCGGATGCACAAGGCGGTGCGGTGGAGGGCTCTTCCAGAGCGGCGGTGGTGGGTGCAGTGCCTGCGGAGAGCCGTGGGAACGACGACGATGACGAGCCTCTGGTGAACAGGCAGCGACGCGGGAATGCGCGAGACACGGTCGAAGCCACAACGAAGTTGTGGGTGGATGACATGAGGTTCTGGAATGAGACGGAGGGCCACAGACTTTTCAAGCTCATCCAGAAGGCACACTTGTATTTGTTGGCCATCGCCAGGGGAGTACCCCCTCCCGAAATCCGTCGAAGTATAGCCCTCCCGCACTCCATCATCCCGCAGCACAAAATTGACGACGAGTCACAGCTTAAGGCGGCGAAAGAGAGGGTGATCAAAGTGCAGACCATCGCCTTACGCGTCATCCATGGCTGGATCTTCAAGTCTGTGAATCGCGCGCGGGGCTACCACGCGGCTTATGGGTACGTGCTCAACCACGTGGCGACGGACATCGCTCGCGTCATGTGGTATGGAGAAGCGTGGCGCAGTCGTGTCAGCCTCGTTGTGTGCCACATCACACTGGAGTTGGATATGATGCTTCCCATTTGGTTCGTCGGCGCGCACATCGAGGAAAGGCACGAGGACGACGAGCTGGCGTGCTACCAAGAGGCTACCATGCAGCGGTTGGTGGGCGCCTTCACGAGCGCCACCACTCTAGCAGAGGGGATCGACAAAGGCCGCGTATCGTACGACAAACTGAGGAACGTCACCGACCCCTACCAGGTTTTACTCGCCACTGCGATGTGGCTCATGAGGATAAGCGGTGATGATCTTCGTTCCCATTTCGATGCCTCCCTCTTCGTTCAGCTCACCGCGAAGCCGACACTAGCGGCGTCCATGCATCGGTCGTTTAATGCGCGTCGCCATATCCTCCAGGCAGCCGCATTTGTCACGGAAAGGATGGGCAAGCCGGCCATGATGTTGGCAGACCCACCTGTATACATCCCGGACTAAGCATCATGCGGCATCACTTTCAGACATGACGCCACTCTTCCATCGCCGGCGGACGCCAAGAGGCTGGACTGGTTGGGGACTGGCCCCCCAGAGGAGGATGAAGATGAAGCTACCGCTGGGAAGGATGATGAAGGGGGGTAGACAACTGTGGATGATGTGGCGAGACGATGGCGATCGACTTGCCATGTGAAGGATAGAAGGGGGCGGCCACGCAACGAGGTTATTATGCATTGGATCATTGATGGTCGGAGGGTCGGTTACTCGGGCGTTTCGATGGCCCAGCCGGGGGGGTGGGTGGGTCAAGGGTGGAGACATCAAGGAGAAAGATTTGTGCCACATTGCGGTCGTTTGGTGGTGTGGTTGTTTTTTTGTGGGGGGGGAGCGAAGTCTGCTTGTCGTCGTCGTCTGCATCGTCGATTGTAGAACGGTTTCAGCTTTCCTGGTGTCCGGGTTAGGGTCCAAGTGTTTATATCGTGCACCGTTTTTTTTTTTTAATGTTTCGCAGTGACGAACTATTCTTGCCATCGGCCGCGGGCCTTTGGTCTGTTCCGAAGCGCATGTGTGGGGTCGTCGTGTGAGCGTGATGCATGCATTGCAATTTGTGATGTGATGAATGCTTTAGCATTGTATTTTTTTGCCATTCTCGCCATCGACGACGACCTTTATGGTGCATGCTTTCCGTGGATGTTTCTTCTACATCCGATTCTTTCACTCCATCGTCATCTTCGTTTGGCATGCACCCATGTGACTCAACGCTGCATTTGTGGGCAGTGTCTGACTACGTTTTTGTTGTGCGAAGTAGAAATGGAAGTCGTTTTTCGTGTTTTAACAACGCACACGTCACATGCATGCTTCGGAATCACAACGACCCTCACAATAACGATGACACTTGCTGAACGAAAACACAATTTCCGTAAACAGGACAACGATATGCACCATTATATAACATTTTGCACCATAGTATAATTAAACACCATGACGTGTTTAAGAAATACAAAGCAGAGCGCACGACGTCGTCGGAAGCACCAACACATGGTATTCCGTAAAAGAAGTTCATGAATGGAATAGCAAAACAGAAGAGAATTCTCAAGAAAGACGCGTAATCCAATGCGCAGTATTGAGTGGCCATGAAAAACCGCACGACAAACAAATACAGCAATCGACGATAGAAGGCTACGACGAATCGACGATTGCTAAGCCAAAAAAGTAAGGTCATGACACATGTGTAAGTCATGGCGTTTGACCGTAGGCAACATAGGACTGCATTTTCCCGACCGCCTGCGAACCTCTACCCGCACGACGATGGTCAAACGAATTGTCAATAACACAACCACTGCCGAACATGGGCCACCACAATCCGATAAGAACGATAGTCAACGATCTCTAAACACACATGGCAAAGACCGTACGCCTTCGGGTCCACCGTCACAATCACTCCACGGAGGATCATGGTCACGGGCCACTCATCCTCTCCGCCAGTGCATCCCTCAGAATGAGCACATCCCCCGTCGAGCTCTCCATGCACACCGACCTCAAGGCACGTTGGATTCCCAGATCCACACGACGGCGCACTCCATTTGCATCCACCTCCCACAACAGATTGTCGTCAAACGGGATGCCGGCGTCGATGAATACGTTGTGGACTATGTATCACCCGCGGTCGCGACCGCGGGCCATTTTACCGCCCGCGGTCTATCGCGACCGAGGCGGGCGGCCGCCCGCGACCGACTGCGGGCACGAAACCCCGATTTTTTTTCGAGGTCTAAAAATATTCGAAAAATATATATATATACCGTGATTTTTAATATTTTTTGGGGTGTGTAGAAAAAAAAAACTCTACACGCCTGTGATTTTTAATATTTTTTTGTGATATGTCCTGGAAGGGAAGAAAATAAAAAACGAAAATGAAAAAAAAAAAAAAAAAAGCGGCGATGGAATTTTTTTTTTCTTCATATTTTTGGTTTATTGCGCCGGTGGCGAA